CTCATCTTGCATAGGGTGCTCTAGAAATGCCAATATCAGCCCTTTGTGGAGATACTGCAGATCTGTTGATATGGGCATCACCGAACATCATCTCAGGCGTATCTCCCTTGATGATAAGCTCAACTTGGAGACCGTAGTTTTCTCAGTTAGACCTCTTCATTATTTTCTGCATACTCTCCATCAAGTGCATGTCAGAACATCAGCCTGGCGTTACGAAAGATGTAGCTCAGGGGGTCGACGCAGGCAAACAGCGCTCGGTTCGACCAATCTTGACGGCCCAGCTTCTGGCAACTTCCCATAAATCCTGGCGTATTGAAAGGCTCTCTGAGTAGTTGGGGTTATTCGCTGCCTGGTATAAATCTCTAACATTATTGCTCTCCCAAAACGAAAAAGAAAAAGAAAGGGCATCTCGAATCACACGTCTGAATACTCAATGCCCAGACGTCGTGTTGTATGCGTCCAGGTCGAGACGTTTGTCGTGAGGCCGTCTATCCACAATTGAGATGCTTTCCCTCGTTCCCATCCTCAAGGGAATAGATTATCAAGGGGACGATACTGGCCTGACGCTCCATCACGAGCAAGCCTCCGCCATCCCCCCAACCCCCTCCTCCGAGCCGTGCCATAAACCAACCTTTCGCTGAGGAGAATCTGAAGATGATCCACTGGTTGAAAAAGTTTGAAAGCGCAAAAAGGAGGTCCCAATTTTGACTCGCCTGACGGAATCGAGGTTGGACCAGGCCCATTTTGGTCGCAGCTCCGCCTACGGATCTGATGTTTCCAGTGATCGCCAGACCGCACCAAGCCCTTTTCCCACATTCAATCTTGGAAGCTGGCCAGAAAATTAGCTCAGATACATGCCGACATACTGGGCAGTAGCAGTCATGATCAGGCTCGAAGCAATGAGTCTTTGCCTCAGGAGAGCAGCCGAACTGCGCCCCCTGAGTGCCGTGCCTACCGCGCCCGCGGCCACGACCGCAACGACTACGAAGTCGTATTGGCAGCAAAAACAGCCAGCCAATGGTACTCGCACAGCAAAAAGGAGGTCCTCAGCCCATTTTCGGGGTTTTCAGCCACTGACTTCGAACTGACCGCTTTGCGGCGAAGCACCGTCCCCCACTTCGGGGCATTCGCGCTGATAATCCAGACCATATGTACTTCGGAAGGATGACTTGTTGGAAGTTTTGGCAAGATAACGGCGTTAAATAGGTTACCTGAAGTTCCTCCCCTTGAAGGGGAGCAACGGGCTGTTGGCGGTAAGGGGCTAGTGGTTGATGGTTGGAAGGGAAGGCATGAAGGCCACTTTCTGCTGGACGGCCTGGCCGTGGTTCAAGACTCGGCGGGTAAGGGCCAAGGTGGCATTGCAGTCTCGTTGATGAAGATGACCAAGGTACCAGGCGAGGGAAACAAACAATTCAGCAGGATAAAGTCACTTTGACCACCGCTTTCTTTTTTTCTTTTTGGGACCATAATGGAAGCGTTTAATGCTCCTAATGTCTTGCCCGAGAGTGGCCTTCTTCACGAATTCAGAAGACTCAAAAGCCAACAAAATGAACCACTGAATGCATCAAGCAAAAAGGATGTCCTCAGATCATTTGGGGCTTTCGCTCACAGAATGGGTTTCCAGACTTCCAAAGTCCGAAATGAGCGCCTTGTGGCGAGCATAAACCCACGGAATCGGTGCCTACCAGCTAGACCATGCGGCCGTTGGACGAGATGAGTAACTCAAATCGAGCTGAATTGTTGGAAACTTGGGGAAGGTAACGGCCTTAGGTAGCCTACCTGGGGGGAGGAGCGGTTACGGATGGTGGTAAGAGGGTTTCCTGCTGGAAGGACCGACTGCGATATGAAACTCGTCAGGGAAGGAACTCAGCGGAACCTTGGACCTGCAAAGTCGATTGTGTAAAGGGGACTGGGATGAAACTGAAAACCGCAACAGAGTGCCATCAGCTCCTGCTCGGGTATGACGAGTGTGATTCCTGATCACTGGTGGCCGCAAGAGTTGTCTCCGTCGCGGCCCCAGGCAACTGCATATGAAGGCAGAATCAACCAAGCTGTTCGCTCTATTATTCGCCAAGTATTTCTCTCTGATTAAGCGAAGATGCGGGCATTACCATCAACAATAAAGCTGTAAGGGTAAGGAAGCCTGAAATACGTAGCAAATGGGCGAGCACCTCTTGTTCAGGAGTCTCCTGCGATGAACATTCATCATGCCGTCTCCAATTACAATAACATCTGAACTTTTATCTTAGAGCCTAAGCTATTGCACGATCTCCGAACAGGCCACATGTATTCGAAAGACTGAATTCATCACTTGTTCATTCTCAAGGTTTGAAAGTATAATAAGTGGTTGGCTAGCCGTAGCTTTCTCTGGATCAGGCGCAGACAGATAATCGTCAGGTCTTGCAATGTAAAGGAAAGGAGTACCAGAGTTTCCACCGATACGCCAACACCACTTCACTTCTCTTGGTTCTTCACGCGAAAGGGTCCGGTAGCACATCTGTCTCGGCGTACTCAGTCAAATCGGCGAGCATTGGCTGACGAAGACGCCATAAACTACTCGGAGCGTATTAAAAGCTCTTTAGATATAGCAAGATCTCCTTTGAATTCTGAGACTTGACTTAGCATAACTTATGCGATCACAATCCCAATTAAAAGCGAAATCTAAGAGACAGATTTGTAATGCCTTCGTTGAGGTTTCAATGACCTATGCATTTATATCTCCCATTAAAATTCGACCCAGTGCAATGAAAAGAAGCGTGGGACCAGGGCTCGTCTGCCAGAGACATCAGTGACTTGGGGGGTGCTGAAGATAGAGGCCCCGGAACCGCAATGTCCACCGCCGATATTTGGACATTCCCCGGCAAGATCTCCTTAATGAGGGTAACTACGAAGCCATGTTGGTGTCTTGCTGCCGTCTATAAAGTCCGAGATAGGCTTTAGCAACGGAAGGCAGGAAATTGGGTTGGCAGGGTGTTTTCGCAAATGGATTGGAATCTTCTTATCTTCCACCCCAGTGCCCGCAGTAATATGACAACAATTCGCCTACAATCGACGACTCGCACGCCCCATCGCTATCGTCCAGCGTGTATCATCATTCGAATATCTTGTCATGGCGAGATAACTTAGAGCCTTTTGAGCTTTGAGCTTCTGCGACTCATTTTCAACATCCAAAGAGATGGCATTCTAAACCACTAAACCAGAGAGCAGAACAAATCGAGCAAAGCCACAATATTCTTCGTTCTTTGGTTCCGAGAAAGGTTCTACCTCTCAAAGTCAGCACCAATTTAAGATCTCGGGATGCTACTCGTCGTAGTACCAAGCACGTCCGTCTAAGGTGCGCTCTCGGCAGGAATATATGTATAAGGCCACCGTTTACAAAGTACTCAACCTCAGAAAGCAAAATGTGAAAGGGTGTTCTCAACTTCACTCTTGTGGTTTTAACCAGTCGTCATTGGACTCATACTTCTACGGGAAGATGTGTTGTCACTCGAATTTCGCAAGGCTCCCTCACCAGCTCGCCAGATCTCTGCCCTTGAAAGTCTGGAGCTTAAGCACACATGAATAACCCAAAAACGGATTATAAGACCTAGGAATTGTATGGGGAATCGTTGGAATATCTAACCAAGACTTGCGCAACGAATGAAGATGAGGACAATACTGCCCGATGCGGAAATACGATCCAGAAGCTGCATTCGGCCTCCCTCCTTGGCAGCAAACAGAATTTGATCCCTATTCCACATCCCTCAGAATTACTCTTTATACTATCGGCGCACCATTTGCTTGAAGCTGTCGGAAGTCTGGCAGGTATTTCTGATTCACCCAGCGAGGTGTCGACAGCATTAGGGGCACGCTTTCTAACCTGGCTTGCGGAATATTTAAGTAGGTTCTCCGTCTATGAAGATACTCAGCAACCCGCTGCGCTAGGTGGAGACTCTTTCAAATTCGATATACCGGCGTCGCCTTTCTCTGGTACGGTTCTGTCACGGTATCTGCAGTTCCCTCTTGCGGGGTCGTGATAGGATTATGAGATCCATGTGGTTCGCGTTCATACTGTATTTTCGCCGTCCGTTAATTTTTGGTATGTATTCAGAGGCAAAATACTCCCAAACCTAATGAAGTGAAAAAGGCCCCTGGGGGAAAACCAAATAAAAGCAGCACCGGCACAATCATGATCTCGCAAAGAAGGTGTTATTGTGGACCATCCTAGTGGAACTATCACAACACCCTACAGACATTGTCTCTGACAAGGCTTATAAACACGTTACTCAAGACTTCCCCAAGCCGCCGTTGCTAAGCCTCGTGGGAAACACCATTCGAAGATGGACCAACCATCAAGCTCAGCTCTTCCAGCATTGCTGTTGCGGCAAACCAAGTCTATCTATGCACGGTTCATATAATTGCAAACCGTGGCTACGAACAAGTAAGGACTGAGGATACGAACGACTTGGACTGAGTCGCCTGACCTGCGAAACGCCGTTGATGATATCGTTGCACATGCCCCAGGGATATTGAGAGCCAGAGAAAACACGAGGACGCTGCTGAAGCATAAGACAGTTATCATGATCAAAAGTCCAATAAGCGTTTGATAATCACGCAACGTATAGCAAACTAGAAATCAATGAATCACCCGTGTGAGAGAAGAGCATGGAGTAACCACAATCAATGAGTTGCTGCTAGCTACCTAAAGCAAAGTTATGCAGCGGGCACAGAGCGAATGATCAACTAGGTAAAAAAAGAAAAACCCAAGAGATGAAGAAGGTTTTGTTTTGGGGTGTTCGCGCTCCCATTCTAATCTCTCTTCTTCTCCCTTTTGTTTAACAACGCGCGCACGAGAACAATGCATCTCACACCGATTCGTCGACCTCGTATTGACCCCTGATGAAATGCTGCTGGTGCCGCTGCTGCCTTCGCAACGACTTTCCGCTCTTCAGCGAGCTCGTGCTCGCCGTGCTCGCTGCACGTTCTCTCGCCCTTGGAGGAAGACGTGGCCTAGTCATCTCCTAAGACGCCGGGCTGTTCCATCCAACCCAGCTGCGGGGCATCACACGCCAGATCTTGACCTCGCCACTGCGCAGGTCGTCGAGCTTGAAGCTCTCCACCTTGACCTTTTTGCTCTCACGGCCCTGCTCCCAGGCGCGAACCTTCTTCTTGGTTCCGTCCCACTCGGAGACAATGGCAACGTGATCGGGCTTGCCGACCTCCATCGAATATTTGGCGTGCATTGGTCCATGCTTGCCCTGGAAGCGGGCGTTGCGGATTGAGATAATGTCTCCGGCACGAATTTGGTCATTTTGTTGCGTTGAGGCGTTGGCCATGTTGGAATAGACAAGAGCGCCGTATGCTCTGGTACCGATAGGGGCAAGAACATCGTTGAATGGCTTCAGGAGCTCGAGAATCAGGCCCTGCGGTGTTCCGTCGGCGACAACAGTCTCCTTCTTAGAGGCGACCGCGTCAGCGATCGGACGTCCAAAACGCTCGTAAGACTGCTCCAGCTCATCCTGACGAAGGGCTCTAGGAGGCGAGTCGTGTCTTTGGTCAATTATGACATCCGCGGCGTTATTTTGGTCATATTGAACCGTGATAATCGTCTGCGAGTAATCCTGGAAAAGAACGTAGACCGTACGCGTGACCTGAGAGCCCTGGGTCTGCTCGTCCGTCTCAAAGTAGAGGTCCTTTCTTCCCTGGAACACGGGCGGTACAGTCTTCTCCTGGCGCCACCATCCGCTTTGCTTCGCCAGGTCCACATCGTTAGCAATAAAGCCAGATTCGACAGAGACGGAAGGTCTGTAAGCATCCATAGATCGGCGCTGAGACATGGAAGCTCTCGAGACATCCAAGGACTGTCGAGCGCGACCTGTAGGGGGCGCCGGTGGGGGACCTCTTGACTGCGCAGGAGAAGGCAGAGGTGGTGACTCGGTTTGGAAGTAGCTCTCCTCCTCGATCTTTGGCGTGCGCTGGTACGGCAGCCTGGGTGCTGAATAGTTGTATGGGTCGTACTCATCGTCGTCCTGCTGGGGAACGGGCGGCTCCTTCCCAGGTGGCGGAGGCGGGGGAGCTCCGCGCGGAACATCCATAGATCGTCGCTTGTCGGCAGGCGGGGGTGGGGGCTGAGACGGAATAGGAGGCGGGACGGCGCGGGGAGCGGCACCAGTGGGGATTGGAGGTGGCATTGATGGTGGAGCATCAGACACGGGCGATCTGACGGATGTGTTATCCTCAATGCTCGAGTCTCGCGCATGAGCCTTGAGAGCATCCTTATGCGGAACCGACGAGGCAATGTCGGTGTCGTAGTCGCCCTCATATTCAGTAACCTCATCGTCTTCCTCTTCGCCCTGTTGGGGAGGGCGAATGGGAGGGGAAATCGGTGACGCGACATGCATGTCCTGTGTCGACTGGCGACTCAGCGACCCTCCCGGAGGAGGAGGCGGCGGCGGCCGAGACTGTGCTGGCGGAATAGCTGGCGCGGCTCCGGGAATAGGTGGTGGAGGTCTGCTCATGCGCTTGTTTGCAGCACCGGTAGGAGAAGTTGGCGAGAACTCGCTACCTGGGATAGGAGGCGGCGATCGAACCGAGGCACCTGTGGCGACCGGTGGCAGAGGAGGAGGGGCGCGTGTGCTCTCTTCGGGCCTTGGCGTATCTTGAGCACCACCCGACAGTTCGTCATCGGACACTGAACCTTCGCTGGGAGACTTAAGCCCAGCCGTGGGAGGTCGGCCTGTGATCGCGTCAGTGAAACCCAGAGTTGTAATTATCATACTACTCACCCTCAGCCGGCACTGCAGGTGGCGCAGGTCTGGATCCCGGTACAGGGGGTGCACCAGCGGGTTCGCGAGCGGGCACTGTTGGCTGGTTAAAGATGATTCTGTGAATTGTTCCTGGAAGCTCACGTGTGGGAGCAGGGCTCGTGACGGCCTCCTCCTGTGCCTCTTCGGCCGTTCGCGGAGGGGGTGGCGGAGCTCTGGAAGAAGTAGGGCGCTCGGGTTCATCGGCCTCAACAGGCTCCTCTTGTCTTTTCGGGACGCCCATTCCGGGCAATGCCATCATACCCGGCACCGGCACGCGTCCAACAGGAGACGTCGCCTCCTCACGCTCTTCCTCCGCAGGTGCCTCAGCAGGCTTCTCGACCTTCTTCTTCCTCGGCGGGGCCGGTGCACCCATTGGGATTCCGAACATGCCATGCATGCCCATGCCACCGCTCATCTTGGCCATTCTCGCACGAAGCTCCTCCTTCCTGCGGACCTCGGGGTCCATGTCGTCCTCTTCCTCTTCTTCCTCCTCCTGTGCGTCCTCTTGACGTGTCTCGGTAGGCGACGCAACTTGCGGTCGGGGGATGGGGCGCGGCGCCGCATCGCTGTCGTCCCGCTCAGTGAGGTCTTCCTGTCCTTCGGTGGTATCGCCGGCACCGCTCATATCGGCGTCGTTTCCATCGTCGGCAGCAGGGCCTCGGGAGGACTTGCGCCTGGGTGCGGGTGGTGGCATGCGAGGAGAGTCGATAGAGCTTCGTGCCGCCGCCTGATCAGCGTCCTGGCTCTCAGGCGCCGCAGCCGAAGCTCCTCCAGCTTCCTCAGTAGCCTCCTGGCTGTCGGTACGCTTCTTGGGCGGGGGTCGCTTCTTCTCCTTCTTTGCGGCGGCATCTGCGTGGCGCTGGGCCTGCTCCAACTGCTGCTTCTGAAGCAAGGCCATGCGCTCCTTCAAACTCAACGGCTTCGGGGCATCTTCGCCTTCCTCGGTCGCAGCGGCAGCCGGCGCCGCCTTCTCGGCAGTCTCTTGGTTTTCCGCCTCTCGCTCTTGTATCTCGGGGTCTTCGTCTCTCCGGTAGACCTTTGCAATTGGGGCCTGCTGGGGAGGCGGTACATATGCGTTTCGGCTAGGCGGCGGAGCAACAAAGGGCTTCTTGATGAAACCAGTTCCGCCAGGCAACCCGCTGGGCTTGAAAGGTGTGATGGGCGCAGCAGAAGCCTTGTTAAAAGCCGCAATGCGGTCCTTGAATGCATTGCTGGAAGGCTTCGGGGGCGGTCCCGGCTTCGAAGGAGCAGGAGATGCCTTGGCGATGGGGGGCGACTTTGCCGCAGGAGGCTCGCTAGGCTTCGGGGCCGGAGCAGCCGGGGTTGGCTCAGGGACAGGCTCGGGTGCCTTAACGGGCACGGGTTCGGGAGCTGCGGGAGCTTCGGGCGAGGCGGGGAGAGCAGCCGGGACGGACGGCGCAGATTGCTCTTCTTGAACCTCGGGTTCCTGGACGGGCAGGGGCTCTGGCTGAGCGGGAGGGGGAGCTGGCGCGCTCGGCTCGGAGGCGGGAGATGTGACCTCGGGCTCCTTCTTGCGCGTTCTCGTCGGGCGAGGCGGGGCCTGAGGCTCGAACTTCTCGACGAAATTGCGAGGGAAGATGCCTTCGTGCTTGAAGCCGGAGTCGTCGACGTATTCCCCGCCATACCAATCGGCATCCTCCTCATCGGTCACAGTGATGATGACGCCGGCGGGGAATTGCAAATCATCGTCGTGGGGCGAAGAGTATTCGAACAGGGCCTTGACCCTGAAGGGGACGGTCGACATGGCCGGCAATATTCAAATCGTCGTCGTCGGGGGTGTGCGGGTTGTCGTCGTTCGTGTTGGTTTGTAGGTAGTTGGAAGAGGAGTCGAGCAGGTCAGGGCGAGCTGCTGCTCTGGGGTGTGGGGCAACGGAATCGGAATCGTCGTCAGCAGCTTTGACCTGGGGCGCTGCGGTGCGCTGCACTGATGGGATGGATGGGCTGTTGGCTGCAGTAGCGGGCGGGAAACGAATAGCAGGGCGTTATTCGGGCAGCAGCGATTAGCAGCAGCCACACCTCACAAACGCGCTGGGTTGGCGATGGGTTGATGAGCAGATCGCGAGTTGTGGCCGGAGGGAGGGACGGATTTTCTCAAACCGATGGAGGGGGGTTGAGGTGACCTGGGGTTGGGAACCGACGGGGTCTTGTCGGAGGAAAGAGAGAGACAGAGAGAGGCTGTGACCTGTGACGAGGAAGACGGGGGTGGAGGGATCTACAGTTGGCGTGTCGACGTCAGCGCATGAACTTGTAACTCTCTTAGTTCAATGTGCCGGGGCAATTGGGGGCCCTTACCTGGGAGGGACACCTATGCGCACACAAGAGTCATGTATGCAACCCGGGGCGCAGAATGGAGAATTCCATGCAGTATTTTGGGCCACGGTGACAAATGATTTTTTGGTGTTCTGTCACTTGGTTGCAGCAGAGAGAGACCTGGCTGGCTGTCTGCCCAAGCTTCCGGGGGTGGGAGGTTGCGTGGTTGTGGTGCGTCTGCGTCGCTGCGCTGGGGGGGAGGATGAGAGGGACGGGAGCCGCAATACCTTATGCGAGCGGGAAGCTGGCCGATGGGAGGGGGGCGGTCTCGTCGAATATGTCAGCCTAAGGTAGGCGGGCCAGCGCCTCACTAAGGTGCGCTGTGCCTCTCAGTCAGTGTCCGTAGATAGCACCTAATTATCCGTATCTTAGGTTGGCCGGTATGTACGGTGACTGGCAGGCGGTGCTAAGAGCAGGGGTTCGTTCGTATAACGTCGTCCCAAGAATACGGGGGCAGAAAGAGTGTCACTGTCTGATATGTGGTGTTGTGTGTGTTGCCTTTTGCAAGCAGTTGGGGTTTCGGGGTGTGGAGTGGATTTTGGGTTGCTTCTCGAAGGAGGCGAAGGCGGAGGGAATATTATTAGGCGTGATGCTTCACTTCAGGATTCTCAAACAGTCTCGCCATACGCCGTCATGGACGGGAGCAACGGCAGGACTAAGATGGGCCAGCGCAGCACGAGGCACAGCCAGGCTCGACGGAGCTCGTGGTTGGCTGGCACGATGAGGTGGTGTACCTCACTTGCTCACCTATCTACTAAGGTAGGCACGGCAAGGTACTTTGCAAAGGTAGATCAACGCCAACAACTAGGTAGCAGTGGCAGATGTTGTTGGTCAGGCAGGTAGCCGGAGGTCGTCGGGCTGATGCTGCAAGGTAGGTATGCCTGTGGCCTGGCAGCTGAGGTGGCTCACGCCTTGAATTGGAGAGCGGGGGATCCTTTGGAGAGGCAACCACAGCCATCATCCCAGGTCACGACTCTGAGCATATCCATCCATCCATACAAACATTAGGTAACCGAACGGTGCTTGTGGCACAGGGCAACCCCGTCAGCGCCGGTCGAACCAGTGTTGGAGTTGAGGACCGGACGAGAACGCGCTTCCTTTCTTCAGCTACCTGCACCAATGAGATCATCCTACATGGTGGTCGAGAGACCGGACTGCGTGCCAGCCAAGCCACCCGCGAGCCCCGAGCCACCACGTCTGGTCAAATAATGCCATGTACCTAGGATTCAGCAAAGCTGTCTGGCTGTGTACCTTACCTAAGGGACCTGAATGTAGCGGCCCGGCTTGGCCCCTCATCGATACGTACCTTTTCTTACCAATTGTCATCGTCTGCACTGCTCCAGCACCACCTCGGAGCACCAGATTTGAATGTGGGGTCGCGAGCTCAAGCAGCATCGAATCTTCTCCAACGCGCCTTAACAATTTTCATTCTCACCAATCGCCGCCCTCGCTGTCGCAACTCTCGTCACACCCCTGGACCTCACTCTGTCTCACCAACCAATCTCTATAGTAACGGTCGTTGTCGGCTTTTGAACTCTCACAGCTCTCGCGTCAATCAAGTCTTGCATCTCCATAAACCAGCTCAGCCCACAACCGAACCTTCATCCACACTCCAACCTCCAATTCACCAAAACCTCGACTCCAAAAATGGCCACCGATGCCCGGCCTCTCAAGGGCATCCTCAAGAAGCCAGCTGCTCCCCCAGAACAACCCAGACCAGACCCCCGCGAGATCGCCATCCAGCACGCCCGCATCATCCACCAGCGCAAAGAGCTCGAGCTCCAGATCCTCGAATCCCTCGCCCTCCTCTCCGAGTACCCGACAGTCCGCGGCAGCCCACGCCACTCCTCCGCCAACCCTGCCCCGCGCGACGTCGCCGACTTCAAGGCCAACGTCCGCCTCTTCCAGCCCTCCGACTACGACGACCTCATCGAGGAGCGCAACGTCAACGGCCTGTGCGGCTACACCCTTTGCGCCCAGCCCAAGCCCGCCGCCTCCAAGGGCGGCCAATGGAAGCTCGTCAACGTCGGCCGCAGCGACTTTGACATTGTCAACCGCCGCGAGTCCGAGAAGTGGTGCTCCAAGGACTGCCAGCGCCGCGCGCTCTACGTCAAGGTCCAGCTTAACGAGACGGCCGCATGGGAGCGCGCGGGCATCCCGGACATTGAGATTGAGCTGCTGGGCGAGGAGAAGCCGGCGGAGAACCCGGCCGCAAAGGCAGCGCGGGACCTGGCCAATCTAAGGCTGGAGGAGGGCAGGAGGGCAGGAGACCAAACTGCGACTTTGGCCCTGGAGCGAGGAGAGGTGAAGAAGGAGGCTACGCCGGGCAAGCAGATGACGTTGGCTATCCGAGAAAGGGAGACGAAACCGCCCGTAGAGGAGGGCGTGTTTACGGCAGGACCTGACGATGCACATATGCTAGTTGAAGGTCACAGGCCGGGAGCTGGAAAGACGCAGGCTCAAGTTGAAATGGCCGAACTGGAAAAGTTGATGGATGCTCAGAAGGCCGACGCAGAAATGTCATGATGTAGCATTGCAGAAGAATTTGGGTCATTCGGAGCATGGATTTGGAGCGTGGACTGGCCCGATGGCTGGCAGCAAAACCAGTCATCGACCTTAGTAGATTTGATACCCCCCAAAAAGGCGAGCCAGCATTTTGACAGCACTTCAACCGCATTTGCACATTCTCGTGCCGTGAAGCCATGCCAGCGCCATCACATGGTACACAGGCAGAGGTTCGACAGGGCCAGAGCTTCACGGTTAGAGAGAATCGTCACAGTGAAAAGGGGGGTGGTATTGGCAATCAAGCGTCATCTCCGGAGTGCTCCAGGAGAATCGGCGACACCTTGTGTGGGAGAAGAAACTTTTTTCCAGTTTCCTAAAATGCAACTCACTACCGTCCTCGAGACGCCTGTAGCAATGTATCATGATATGCCGTTGCCGTTGCCGTGAGACCGTAAACTTTTCCACCCCGATTTTTCCTTCTTTCCTGAGCAAACAATTTAGTCGCGACGAGGGGGGCGGTCGCCGAAGCGGCGGCCACCGCGCTCCTGGACCTGGGTCTGGGCGACGGGGATGACGTTGACGGGGATGGCGTCGAACTGTGTCACGGCAAGTTAGCATCGCCATCATTATCTGTTGTCGCGGGGCTGCAGGTCCTGCGCCGTGGTGTCTGGGGGGAGAGCGACGTACGCCAAGGTGCTTCAGCAGGTCCTTGGTCTCGACATCGACGTCGAGCTGGCCGCTCTCGGAGTTCTGGGTGAAGTCGAGGGCGGAGATCTCGGGGACGTATTGGTCCTTGCGCTCACGCTCCTCCTCCTGGAGCTTGAAGGAGATACCGCGGACGGGGCCACGCTGGATACGCTTCATCAAGTGCGTGGTGTAACCAGCAATCTGCAATTCAATCCACCGTCAGCATGAAGTTCCCCCCTCTCATCATGAAATTTTTGCAGCACGCTCGCCGTGGCCCAAAAGGCGCCCCAGGAGCGCGCCTCTCTCGGATGGTATTCTGACCTTGTTGCGGAGGCGCTTGGAGGCGATGATGGCGATCTCATCGCAGATGCGCTTGTTGGTCTCGAAATCCAGGGTGAGCTTGGGGTAGTAACGCTCAATGATGACCTTGGCGGACTTCTTGACGGTCTTGGTACGAACGCGACCCATTTTGGCGGTATTGGCTCAGGTGGTTGCTGGGAACGGTGGACGGGGGTTAGTGAGTTGTCGAGATGGAGGCTGTCGTCGGTCGTCGCTGAGTTGAGAAAAAAAAGATGCGATAGTGTGCACACTCGTTAGGGCAGACCAGCCGAGAGTGGAGATAGTGGTGGTCCGTGCGCTGCAGCAGTTCACGTGAATTGATGGGGCTTCCGGGTCGGCACCCCGGTCGACTCGCCGGCATGCGGATTATGGGCACCGGACTTGGCGCCGCCGTCCTGGACAGCGCGCGCTCGCTGCAGTTGGCGCAAGTCCCTGAGATGGTACAGATTGAATTACTCTCGTACCCGGCCTTGCCGTGTCTTGATATTCTCATCGAGTTTCAGACGAGAGAAAAGCGACGGGTAAGACCATCGCAGATACTCTCTTTGGCAATTTAGCTTGCTCCAAAATCTCCTCGTGGGTATCAACATGTTTTTACTATTTTGTCAAATCTACATCAACCCCTTTTAGAGCATCTACTGCCCACTCGGGGTACTTTGCCTTGTCATCATACAAGCCACCAAAGAACTCCCTGATGTATGCAGGGAACCTATCCTCAATGATGGACTGCCTAATTTCCCTCATCAGGTTCAACTGATACCATACGTTGTGTATACTCAACAGGTGAGCAGCCACGGTCTCTTTGCCGGCGTTGTGGTTAATGAACGCCCGGGTGACATTCAAACTGCCCTCGCCCCTTCTACAGCACATGCATCCACAGCCCTCCTCGATAGGACCGTAGTCATGCTCGTACCTCCAGTTACGGATGTTCAGGACGCCAGCTTTCGTGATTGCATTACCAAAACGTGCTGTTCGCGTGGGCCAGACACAGTCGAACATGTCTGCGCCCAGCGCAACGCTCACTACCAAATCTTCCGGGTAGCCAATTCCCATTACATAGCGCGGCTTGAGATCAGGCAGCAGTTCGGTGCACGTTTCGACAACGCGACAGTAGTCGGCCTTAGCCTCACCGCCGCTTAGTCCACCAATAGCGATTCCAGGGGTATCACGGGCGAGCATCTCGCGGGTGCACTCGCGGCGCATTTCAAGGTCGAGACCACCCTGGATGATGCAGAAGAGATTCTGCGTGGTGGGGTTTTTGTGCGCAGCAATGCAGCGATCAAGCCAGCGTACGCTGCGCTCCATGGCCTCACGCATGCGGGCGGCATCCGGAGATGTTGTGACCAGGACATCGTCCAGTTGCATTATGATGTCGCTTCCAATCGAGTTCTGCAGAGACATCGAGTGCTCCGGCGTCAAAAGCATCGGCGAGCCGTCATGCGGACTAAGGAAGCGCACGCCCTCTTCCGTGATGTGGGCCAACTTGAGAAGACTGACCATCTGGAAGCTGTAGGACGTCAGTCGCAGTTCCGTTTGCACGCAGATCCTTCGTATTCTTACCCTCCGCTATCCGTCAAGATATTATGCTTCCATCCCTGGAGCTTGTGCGCCCCGCCCACGGCATCGAGAACCTCCTGTCCGGGCTTCAAGCCAAGATGGTAGGTGTTGTTCAAACATAACCGGCAACCGGTCTCTTCGAGCTGTTCGGGGGTCAAGCCTTTGAGCGAAGCCTGGGTTGCGACCGGCATGAACATGGGAAGCTGGACCGAACCATGAGGAAGCGTCAGGATGGATGCGCGAGCTCTTGTCGTCTAGCCTAGTTTGTTAGCACCGTCCAGCCAGGGCAGAGTCATGCGATGAATCGCATGGCTACCTACTGAACAGCGAGCAACGAGCTCGAAAGTGAGCGCGGGCGAGGACCCGACGGTGGTTGACGCCATCCTTTTCGCTGCCCACATGGACGATCGTGCAGTCCGCAAGCTGCCGGAGAGAGTCGAATGAGAGAGAGTCGTTGGAAAATGTCAGTTGCTAAATTCGATGCCCGCGCTAGAAGGAGCAGTTTCCTAACAAGGCACCTGTGATTCGTGGTGGGGTGTGCATGGGCTGGACGTCTTAGTGGGGGACCAACAGGTACTCGTCACTATCACTGCACTCGATTGGCGTCTCAAGGCATGTGATATATTAACCAGAAACTCTTAGTAAAACTGATGATGGCTCATTGAACCGAGTAAAAGTTTTCGTAGAAATCGTAGAGCAAGATTGACGACGTAGGAGACTTGGACCGACCCTGAGTACCCGACTTCGCAATCGTTGACCCTTCCCGTCCCGCGCCTGGACTCGACGACCCCCGGGCCCCAGCGCTTCACTGCCAGCAGGGGTGGCTGTTGTCCAATCAGACGGCTCCGGCATATTCCGGCCTACTCCAATTGAAATTTCTCCCGCAACGACGCCAGTTCTTGTGATACCTGCGATTGACGACCGAGCCTCCGACGACGTGCTCAGACTGCCGCAATGTCTGCCCGATTGACGCCCGGAGGAGCGCTTCTGCGCTCCTCGCGGATGTTCACCATTCCGAATCCGCTTCCGCAACCCGGCGGCGAGGCTGGTGCCGTCGCTCGCCGCCTCTCCCCCAGCGCGACGACCGATTATCCCACACATCAAGCCATCACTACCCCCGAGTCCTCGAGGAAACTCGGCGACTGGGGTTTCAAGCGCTCCCTTCCCATCCAGAAGACGATCAAGACCTCTACGCCAATTGTGCGAGTCAAACAGATCGATACCATCGAGGGAGTTACCGACTACAATTCCGCCGCCGACCACGCCATCACTCTCCAAAAGTTCCAGGAGATGAACCTCCCCGTCTCACTACCCACCTCGAACAGGGTTCGCCTTGGAACCCTGAATGCCGCCCCCAAATCCGTCTTCGAGGACGAGCATGACTTCACAACACTGGAGGATGGTGCCGCCGAGGACAACAGATGGAAATTCCAGGGTCCTTGGCTCGCTGGTCTGACCGAGGGCGAATTCGACCGATACCTGCGCAAGAGCGTCCGTAGCAAGCGCGAGGAGTTCCGAAACTATCTCAGGGAGGTTCTCGCTGAAGACATCAACAAAGACAGACGTCAAGCTGCTCTTGACAGAGGCAGCGAGGCCCCGGAGCCGGTCACAGCCAAGGACATCACCGAGGACCAGGTCCTTCAATACCAGCGCAAGATACGCGCCGACCGCGTACTTCTCTTCACCCACATCAGCAAATTTCTGGATCTTGCTCCTCTCCAACCACCCCCCACAGCGAAAAACTTCGTCGACGTGACCCAGAACACCCGGCCTAGCACATGGGCAGAAGTTGGCCCGCCAATGTCCCACCCTTCCGCCGGTATCTCCTACCTGCGTACTTCGGCCTTTGCCGAGAACCACCCCGTCTACGGACCGCAGGCGGAACACACGCCCGTGTTGGCGCGTATTATCGCGCCGCGACAGGGCACCCAACACGCCAAGCTTGGTGTGGCCGGTTTCGTCACCGACGTGCCCCTGGGCGACAACGCCTTTAACGAGAGGTCGTTCAGAGGCAACCACAAGAACCGCATTGCCGGCATCACCTCTTTCGATCCCGATGTGAAGGGTGGTGCAAAGGCCTACGTCAAGCCAGTGTCGGCATGGATGAGCTCTGTTGGCCGCATTCTGATTGGCCTTGATGCTGCCGAAGGGGAGTCGCAATCAGTCCTCAAGGAGATGACCGGCAAGGAGCAAATCTACAATGACAAGGACGTCTCCAAGATTCCGGTAGCTGAGCCGAGGGCGCCGTTCGCGGGGCTCAGGGGAGCCGCTGCCGCCGCCCCTACGCCGTACTTCCGCACACCTCAGCAGCCGTACAAGCCTGAGCAGACTGGAAGCAAGGAGACCTATGGCATTGACTTGTCTTGAGTCGTAGCCACGAAGGAGATGAAAAACATGCTCAGAATGATTGAAGATTAGAACCGTCTTCTCTGGCTGACGTGGGCAAGCGTGCCTTGTACTATGTATGGTTCTGTAAAATAACAAGAATAAAGCCCAAATTTCAAGACAACCAACAGCGGCGTATCCATGATCTGATGTGTCACCTAAACTCAAGTTGGCTATGAAGGATATCGTCTCTCACTAAACCTGTAAACCATGATTGCAGAACTACGCTTTTCTCCTGACCAAGTCCGGCATCTTACTTCAACTGGAATCTTCCGACTCGGAGTGGAATTCACGACTCTCCCCCGTCAAAATATAAGTAATGGCATCCAAAGCAGTCGGCAGCCACTTCTTCACCAGCCGGCACTCCATCAAGACCACATTGACACGGTCATAGGCCGCCATGACATCCTATCGGCAAAATCAGTACACTACCCCGCCAAAGAGATTGCCCAAGATCTGTCAAACATACATCGCCGCGTCTGTACGGCTTCTCCTCGAGCTCCCGGAACCGCTCCGCAAGCGCCGTGAACCTGTCAGCGAGACGGGGGATGTCGTTGATCAGAACATCGTCGCCAGGGGGTCCTCGCGCGTACGGGTCCCCCGGCGCCCGTCTCATGGACTGCGTCCACGCGGTGTAGTTGATGGTGGGCAGCTTCTTGCGCTCGGCGTCGGCGATCTCTCGGATGTAGTGGATGGTCGCCTTGATCTTTGGGATTGTACGGCTGGTTTCGGCGATGGCCCAGTCGGCGGGCCGCCACATTTCGTCTGTCTGTAGAAAGGGTGGAGCTTGTTAACAGGACTTGCTTCGAGATATCACGGGGAACACAAGAGGGGCTCGGCCTTACGACTCTGGGGTTCCTGTCTTTGTCGGCCAAAAACTTGTTGGTGCGAGCAAGGATCAGTTTGCAGGTATCCGCGATCTCGGGGACGTCGTCGAGACTGGCTGCCATTTTGCTGCTTGCGATTTTGGACCCCGGTGCTGACTGCTGCATATGTGACTCTGATTTGTGAACATGCTGTATCAGACAGCTTCCGCAACATCTTATACTACTGGTAGAAAGGGTGATCAATTCACTTAGTTGGTTAGTATGAGTGAAATGCCCACTTCATAGTCCATGAATCACAACACTGACTGGTCTTGTCGGGTGGATTGAAAGCCTTGATTCGATCCGAATGAACATTCCACCAAGAAAAAGCCTTCCACTGAGTGTTGGCGTTGCATTGTATCCAAAGTATCGTAGTAGAAGATGCTGAGACTGATGAAGTAACCTTGCTGTGTAGATTTAGTTCATGGACTGACAAGACTTGTAGGGATGACAGTAGTCTTGGAACCCCGAAGAGACAGTGAAGGAGCGAACCTGAGCTCCTGTCTTTGCGAATAATATGAGCAGCTTTCAATAAAACAATACTTCCGCGAAGCCACAAAATGTTGGTATTGCGCCCTGTTGTAACTACAATTTCCCGGAACCCCCTTTCCCCCAGACCTTCCTCAGATGGGTATGCCGTGATCATCCCGCGGACGCTTCACGCTCGACCAAATGGCAATGCCTCCCACCATCATGAACACGATTACAACTACAGCGATGACAACGACAATGCTTGTGTTCGGCTGTCCAGACGAGTTCGCGGCTTGGCTTACTACCGTGTTTGATGGTATTGCGGAGTTCATCGTAGAGGTGGGGACAGAGGGATTTGATGTCGATGGTAGGGACGTTGATGCAAAAGCGGTGCTGGATACCTCCTTAAAGGAGACAGAGCTCGTGGCCGTGGCCGAGTAAATCGTGGTGTCCAGATTCGAGTTACACCAATACGGAGCAATGGATTGCATAGCTGCGTTGCAAGCAAACAACGGGTCAGCCATAGACGCGAAGTATTCTAACCGGGATTCTGGGAACGAGGAGACTTACAGGAACCATACTCAGGGTTGTGAATCCAAGCCCAGTTGCCGCAAGCTTCGTGTGCGTTATTGAAGGCACCTGGAGCAGACGTGGGGCTTGCCATTTGTTAGTCAAGGATCTCAATGTTGCAGCCAAAGGCAATACATACCAAAGGCATTCTTCCATGCGCGAGAATGTCTCACTTGATGACATGGTCTCCGGCTTGACATGCGAAGAGCACTCCATGACCCAGTCGCTCATGCTGTGACAGGCCGCCGGAGTCGCAGTCTTTACCCGGCACTCCTCGAACCCTAGACAGTCTTCTAGGTTTTCGAGGAACTCTATATGTCTTTTGCATCAGCCCGATTGTCAGGCAAACCAAGAGGTGTTGACTCACGGTCTTTCTCTGGGCTTGCGGTCTCGATTTGCGCTGCACACGAGGACCAGACGGGCGTCAGAGGCGCCTCTTCCAGACAACAGAAACATCTGACGACGTCCACTCCGTCGTAAGTTATCACCGGGGGCGTTGTCCAGGTCGTATCAAGCCCGGTTTTAGCTCGGTCTATGCTGAATCTTGCGGTGCAAGAGTTGTCGACGGACCTCGCGATGGCACATGCGTCGCGAGTGATGGTTCTCTGGGCATCGATAAACGAGGCGAAGAAAAGGCCTAGGAGACTAAGAGAGCTAGAAGGAAAGGAAGTGATGAACATTTTGAAGTATGTTTCTCTTGATTGTTGTCGGCACGAAGAACTAATGCTAAGACAATCAATACTATTCACACATCAACGACATCCAAGATCGGCGCCGCTGCCATATATTAAAGGTATGATCGATTTTGGCTCTCGAAGACCTCGACGCCCGACTGTAATGCCACCCATTCGCTCAAGGCACCCGGGCAAAATGCACAGGTCGTATGCAATTTGGCCAAGTCATGGCAGACCAATGACTGTAAGGCAGATAATGCGGGTAGAGGCGATGCAGAAAGATGATCGGGTTGGAGTTGGTCACTCCATGACCAGAAACCTGCACGGCTAGCAGGCGGCACACCTTGAAAACCGACAGACCCAAGCGTAGAAAGAACAAGTCGTGCGATATGGGTCAGGCTTACCATCAGGTTGACCTGTACCAATGTCTCAAAGCATGGTTTTAGGAAACTGCCACGAAAGTGCAGAAATTCGACTGCGTAGAGGCAGATACCCGCGCCACCTTGGCGCATGTAAAACCATCGATGATGGGCGGCAGTGGCTATGCCGGGCGATTATGAAGGCGCAAGCAAGACTTACAGGTTGCCCAAATCTTAGGTATATGAAAAGGAGTGCGCCGCCCAGTCAACTCCTGGTCGGCCTCACCATTCCATTGCAGCTCTCAGAGTCATAAGGATCCCGCCTTGAGGTGCATGCACATCTCCGACCTTATGTAGGTTTGCACAGCTCAACCCCAGACTTATGGAAGAGCCACTCCTGTTGCATCGGTATCAACCCATGCCATTCATTGACCACAAATCGAGCCCCTTGCCGGCAACCGAGATCAAGTCGTTTTTGTCTCCCGATCGGAGCCGGAGCCATACAGGCGGCCCACACCAGCTCGTGGTCATTGCTCCAAGATGCAGTATGGTGAATCGGAACGTGCTCAGATCTTGTGTCACAAATATGGGGGCCGCGACGTGAAATGTGGGATGTTGAAGAAGTTGGGTCTCGTTGGTCTCACTTGAGTCGGTGTTGCAGAAGATCCAGAGTCGAGAGACTCCAGTGTGGGATGAGAGAAGCAGATGAAAGGAAACAGAATGAATGAAGAGAATAAAGCTGCACTGTCCCGGTGAAGATCATTCCCCCACATGGCGCCGTCGGAACTCCATCAAAATAAGTGGCTGCTCCCGGCAAGAGAGATTCGAGAAATGGGAGGGATTGCCCCGCCTCCCCTTCTGTTGTTGCTGGTGCCCCACGTGATGGATTTATGCAACGGGTTATGACGCGTGTTTGTACACAAAGTGGACGCGACTTTTTTTTGACGATGCGCTGGCGGGCTGGCGGGCGGTCAACAACCAAATGACACACCCACCTTCGCCTGACGTATTTGGACAGAGACCCTGCCACTCTACCCTGTCACTACGGTAAGCCGAAAGTCGACAATTCCAGCCCAAAACAACACCTTTCGGGTCTTCTATTCTCCCACGTCAACCCTTATTTTCACCATCTTCTTAGTCCGGCCTAGTCCTGCTGCACGACTGCGAGATTCTGCACGATCCATGGGACTCGCGCGTCAGCCATGGCCTCTCCTTACAATAGAGCGCCATCGCGGCGCCAATCGACGTTGAACACACCCCCCGATGCCGAAAAGGACTTGTCGCATTCGCTCCGGCAGCTTTCTCTTTCGACTGGCTCTCCTGTCGCCAACTCTCCCCGCACCCCGAGTGCCTTGTCGCCAATGAGACCGGCTGTCAACAGAGCCTCTCCGGCCCCGAGCCCGCGAATGCCCTCCCGGAGCCCCTCCCTCGCAAGAGAACTGTCCCGGTCCCGATCCTCCACCCCGACGCTGCCGCAGCGATCTGCGACGCCCACTCTCCAGCGCAAGTCCTCTACAAGCTCCTTGCACTCCGTGAGCGGGCGGCGGACGAGCATGGCACATGCCTCCTCGCCTGTTGCCAAATCCCCTTTACGAACGAGTCCCCCTGAGTACATCAAGCCTCCCCCTACGGCGAACACGATTGCCCGCGACTACTTCAAGACCGAACTTGCGACACGCCATTCCCCCCTTTCCACGCTTGGCACCGAGACCGTCGTCATTCTGCACGATGCCTGCTACGGACACCGCTTCTCCCGGCCCAAGACCTCCAAGGCAGCCCTGAGCACCATCGTCGAGCGACCAGAGAGAATCAAGGCCGGTGTGTTGGGAGTAGCAATGGCGTACGTGCGACTGGGTGAGCGACACTGCGACGGTTCCTACCCTCTCCATCCGAGTCTGGATCCCTCCACCATTCCGAACATTCCGTTTCGCATCTACAAAACCGAACGCAGGCTGTCTCTCAACTCACCAGCGGTGACCAACGTGCATGGGACCAAGTGGATGGAGGAGCTCAAGACGATGTGCGAGGTAGCAGAGGCCAAGCTGTCCATGGGAGGTAAAGAGCTCCAGCGACCGGAGATGAACCGAGGCGCGGATGGCCCGCCTGCCAAGTTCCACGAGGGCGATCTTTACCTCTGCGCGGAGTCCCAGGAAGCATTTGAAGGTGCGCTGGGCGCTGTATGCGAAGCCGTCGACAGGGTCTTTACTTCTGGTCCCCGAAGAGCATTCGTCGCAGTACGGCCGCCAGGGCACCATTGCTCGGCTTCTTATCCCTCGGGTTTCTGCTGGGTCAACAACGTCCATGTTGGAATCATGCATGCCATTTTGAACCACGGCTTGACGCACGCTGCCATCATCGACTTCGATCTCCACCATGGTGACGGCTCTCAAGCCATTGCCTGGGCGCACAACTCCCGAGGAGTGAACATGGCCAAGAACGCCGCTGCGTGGAAGAAGGCCTCCATCGGATACTTCAGTCTCCACGATATCAACTCGTATCCCTGTGAGATGGGCGATGAGGAGAAGGTGAAGAACGCAAGTTTGTGCATTGACAACGCTCATGGACAAAACATGTGGAACGTTCATTTGGGATCGTGGGACTCTCCGGACGAGTTCTGGGAATTGTATGAGACCAAGTACTCCGTCATTCTCGAAAAGACGCGCAAGTACTTGAAGACACAGTCTGCTCGTGTGCGTGCTCTCAACTTGCCGCCCAAGGCGGCTATTTTCTTTTCCGCAGGATTTGACGCCAGCGAGTGGGAAACCAAGGGTATGCAGCGTCATAATGTGAACGTGCCTACCGAATTCTACGCCCGTATTGCCCAAGATGTCGTCAAACTTGCTGCAGAGGAGGGGCTGAGTGTGGATGGTCGTGTCATCAGTGTCCTCGAGGGAGGTTACAGCGACCGCGCGCTGTACTCTGGCATCTTCAGCCACTTGAGCGGGCTCTCAGGGGACCAGACGGCGGGAGAGCAATCCAGGGGCCGCTCATCACTGGGCTATGAAATGGG